TTCTTCTTTCATTTCTTCAGAAGATATCTTTACAGAACAACCACCACAAACAGATTTACCATTTTTTATTTGTCAGCCTTCTGAATTCCACAGTAAATGTATATTAACTATTCGCGGTAGCAAAAACCTTCCTTCTAGTCAAACTCATTATATATTAGACAATAAAAGTATATATTAGACAGTAATAGAAAATATTCAATATTTCCCCAGTACATTGAAAATATCCTATCAGAATCAATACGATACTTTAGCCAATCTTTTGTACCATAATATACTCAATAAAGGTGACACTATTCAATTTCCTTTAGAAACCTTGAAAAAACTTGCATCCAATAATTTTCACATTGAATTTGTAATTCAATGCCCTTTGGAGAAAGGTGAATGATATGTTGAATATTGATTGGAACTAAACATTTTTGGGGAATTAAAATTTTCCACATTTTTGAAAACTGTTGCTTCCCAATTCTTTTCTTCTTGCAGATTCTTAATCTTTCTAAGATCTGCCACATAACATGGATTTTGATCTTCCGCCTGTTCATCCTCCGAATTAGTCTTTTTTTACATGCCACATTTGAAACGATTCAATTTTCGGATCATCATTATAATGTTTATTTTCCAATTCCAGTCTGATGTTGTCAAAAGGTTTCACGTATAGGTGAATTCAAAATTCCACCAGGGTCGTTTATGAATCTAGTTATCACTTTGATAGGTCTTATCTGCATACACTTTATACAAAAACCAAGGAGCAAAATGAGTCTGCTAACGAAACAGTGGTCCGGTAAGTATTGTAACTTGATATCTCTACAAATACAACAAATTCTCTTCTGTACTACTTCTACTACTGAGTACATACTCATTCAGTAATCGACAACAATTCCAACCTGTATATATTCTAAACTTCCCCACTTTTTTCTCATTCGACTTGTAAACGATTCTAAAGACAAAGTGTTGTCGCTCTCACAATAACATTCTCGAGGTTAAACTTTCAATTTATTCTATAATGCCTTTGCATAGATTTAATCAACATTTTTCAAAACTTCAAACAGAAGTAGAAGAAGAAGCATTATTAAAATCACCTCTTCAACGACAATTGAATTTTCCATTTTATGTTGTGGTTCTTATGATTACCACGTTAAAGATTCAATTCGCTTGAAAGGTGAAAAAAATATCAGTTTAAATGAAAATTATTATATATTAGATAATGGAGGCCGATTTGACTATTATGAATCAATTTGCAAAAGAAAACAGAGGATATAATTACATTCTTGTAATCATTAATGCCTTTAGCAAATATGTTTGGGCTGTACCAGTGAAAACTAAAACGGGTAAAGATATCACTGCTGCTATGAAATCTGCATTAGAACAAATAAGCAACCCTCCAAAAAACTTACAAACTGATATGGGAAAAGAATTTCACAATAAGGACTTTCAAAATCTGATGCAGGAATATGATATAAACCATTATAGTACTTTTTCAAATTTAAAAGCTAGTATTTTTAAACGTGTGATTAAAACTTAAAAATCATCATCATGGAAACAATTTAGCTATCAAGGATCTTATAAATGGATCAACATTCTTCCTGAAATTGTAAAAAATACAATAATACTGAACATTCTACAACTAAGGCGATACCAAGTAAAATAAATGAAAGAAATGCAAAATTTATGAATTCATTTCAACATCTGAAAACTGTTGACTCAAAAAACCCAAGTTCAGGAAAGGAGACCAGGTTCGCATATCCAAATATCGACATGCTTTCAATAAGTCTTATACTCCAAATTGGACCACTGAAGTGTTTAAGGTCAAACAAGTAAAGTTGACTAATCCTACCACATACATCTTTGAAGATTCAGGAAATATTGAGATACAGGGTGGATTTTACACTCAGGAATTACAACGAGCCAAGTAGCCAGATATTCATTTAGTAGAAAAAGTTATTCGTAAAAAGGGAGACAAGTTGTACGTTAAATGGTTAGGATTCGATTCATCACATAATTCTTGGATGATTAAAAAAGATATTGAAATACCTATAAGGAAAAAATAATAAAGAATGTAAATATATAAGTATTTAATTTGTTCATATAACTTATTTCTATGATTAACATCTAAAATATGATTTATACATGTGGCATATTTTACAATACGACGTTGGAATCGTATTCGATCATGCTCTATTTCTTCCCATGGGCTACGTCTCGCCGCTTGATAAGCGTAATTCCATGAGTGAAGCAAATGAATGTTTACTTTTTTCGTCATATCTAATAATATGTTTGTTCTTCTTCTTGAAAGAGTTCTAGATGATGATACGTTACTTCCAATCCAAGTGTGTATACTTCAGGATTAATTTCTTTGATTGTTTCAAGTACCTTCAATGACCTGTTGATTATATCCGACTTCACTCCCAATTGAAGAATATTCATTACTACATCAAATCTCAGAGATTTCAATACATCGATTCTATATTGAAGAATAGGTATGGAAAGCCATAATTCTGACGATTCACAATTCAAACGAATACTAGAATCGCCATTGTAAATTCGAATAGTATTTGGGTGGGTCTGCTCAAATTCCACTGCAAATCTTCCAACATCTATTGTGTTTTGACTAATTCTGTCCACTTCCGCTCGTCAAATACTAGAGTTCCATTTCCAGTGCCAGCTATTAAAACACAAGAAACATAATCTCGATGCACTGATATACACACGGATACATACTTTGATTTATCTGGATTTAGGTGAAACCTACGTTCTCCTAAAAATATATCTTTTCTATCTTCAAACCAATTCATTTTGAGTGATTATCACTAATTCATTGTCTATTTATATCACAAGAGAAAGGAGAGGATTAAAGTTTTTTCCAAGGTTCAAACAACAACAATAGAAGATTTTTCTTTGTGAAAAATACTTTGATTTTTACACAGTAACTTATCGGGGTAAACTGAAAAGTTTGCCCTTCTACACTTGTATTAAGTTCTCCATTATAATTTTTATATTCTTTCAGATTGTGGAAGGTAACAATTACCCAAAAAAAAGTCGATAAAAAACTGATTTTTTCCTCCACAAAAAATGACTTTCGTTAAACTTTAATCATATTTTTCATTGTCCTATATAAGAAAACAAAATGAATTATTCATTTATTATTATTTCCAAACTAATAAGACATTAATTATCTAGTGAAAGACATACTTTAATTTTCCCATTTTTGGAACAATCAAAAAAATTATAATAATTACTAAAACTAAGGTTATACACGACATGAAAAATATTCCGTGTGTTTATCTTTATACAGCTCTATCAAAAGTCATAATTTGCCATTCCTGTTGATCACTTTCTGAATTATTAAGGTATATCATTTTAAATTTATAGTTGAAATGTGTTGCATTCGATTCTGGAATCTTTATTTGAAACACTGGTAATTCACCATTATTTTCCTTTGCAAGACTCAATATTTTCCAAGTAGTTCTATTACACTCTTTCTTCATATTTTCCAAAAAGTTGCTCTGGTAGGAATATAGGCAGATTGATTTATTTTTACCACTTTCAGGACCTTGAAATATTAATATATTATATTCAAAAAATAAAGACAATTGAAAATATTACTATTTTTTCGTTGTTCATTTTTACGATTTTTAAAGGAAGACTTTCAGATTTAATTTTCTTGAACCTGGAAAAATCTTACAAGAATCAAACTTACTTTTCATATTTTGCTAAAGCTGATATTAAAAACGAAAATGAAAACTAACCTCAATTTCTTTAGAACATTGGTCTTCTGAAATCACTATTCAAATAGTTCATATATACCATCACAGATGGCTTTCATTATTCAATAAATCGCATTTCCAATTCAATTTGTCACATTACTTATATTACATAACTGATCGGAAAGGTATATTACATTATTACGGATCATTAAAATCAATTATTCAATTATTCAGCATACCTATTTCAGATATCTAGAACGATTACATATGTATTGGAAAGTTCAAATTACTTTGAATCGTAGATTCATTATTATAATGAATATAAGATTTCTGAAATATAATGTACAGAATCCTCTCTGAAATTACTTTGAATCATTTAAGATTCGTCAGGTACCGAATGTTGTTAATACTTAGACATTCTTTTAAGTAATTGAACATGAAAATTTACTGAATTTCATAAACAATTCTCATGATGCATTCAAACCACATTTTTGCTTCATAACTTCATTCTAATATCATACAAAAAAAATAATGTTCGCAATGAGAGACTCCCCCGCGAGGCACTGAAGTAACAGGTCCCCCCATTTTTGTTGATGCACAATATCATATCAAAAATTTGCTAAGATGTCAACAGTGTGAGTGTGGTGTCGGATCCCACAATTTTGACAAATTCTCAATCACGTATTAGAAAAAATGGACTGGGATGTTCACACCGTAATGTGTGATGAGTCCCTAATATTGACACATTCATAATAGCGTATCCAAAATTTGCTGGGATGTTCACTGTGATGTTTTGAATCCAAATCACAGGAGATATATTTACCATTATAGCAAATATAAGATTTACAGTGCATGACACTGAATAGCCTGAAACACCCTTTGTATTACTACTTTCACGTCAGCTAAATGTTTGTGACTGTATCGATCATTAATTATTTGGCAAAGTGACTATGCTCTGAGCTTTAACCATCCTAATAATGCTGACTCACACTTTTTTTCTCGGTGAAAATGCAACTGACGACTCAGTTCATTGTATCCAATGTATCATAAACCAGCTCCATGAAATGGAAGCTGGTTGAAATGAAATGATATGAAACCTAATAACTGTTATATAATTCATACTTTCGACAGGCATATAATTCTGCTTTTTCATACAGCCCACTGTTACTTGAAAAATTCGTTTTTCCATCCACTTCTACTTTCCATCATCTGTATTTCTGACGCGAGTGCACAAACTATCGCTCATTTTACTGATAACGAAATATTATTCAGCTCATTTGAATGAAATTTATCTGGTATGAAATTCATGTTACTATAACTATAATTCCTACAGCTCTCCTTTCCACACCAGGTACCTCTACCAAATGTCCGGAATAAAAAAGGGTGTTATCTTACTTTTGTGATATCTAAAGAAAATACGTTGAAATTTCAATGTAGATAGTATTTTAAACAGGCCCTTTCTGTAATCTGAATTGAATAATGAAAGGATTTTCTTGTAAAATTTGATTATACTTCATTCCTTTATCGTTACCTGTATTTTAATCACATTCAGAATATCAATTTTTCCTCTTCATTCAATTTTTTTTATCAAGTTATCTAGACTGTTGAGATGCTAGTTGTAACTGCGGAAAATTCAAAGGAAGAAGCAGGTCAAACATATTTTACCTGTACCATTCCAAAGGGCGAAGTGAATCGCTGTTATCGAAATAAATCAAACGAGTTCAAGGGCCATCGCACATCTGGACGAGTGAACGAATACGTATTACTTTTTCTCTGACATTTTCCATTCTCAAACACCATTCCAGTGTACTTGATCCTGTGAAAAACATACCCAAATATTTCTACGAATAGAAATTTCCTGCTTTCCCGACTCTCGAAATATCGGAAAATGATTTGGAGGTAAATCTTATTTTGAAGTTTTCATCACGGAATATGTGTTTCGAATAGAATACCTGAAATACGAAATTTCTATCAGGAATTATTTGCTATACTATTTGCTTTATACTCGAATGAACACGTTGTATCATAAGGGGATTATGTAATGGCTTAAAATAGACTACTTTGAATTGAAATTGATAGATGAGAGTAACAGAAATCGCAATGTTACCCATCTATGCAATCGGTTACATACTGAGGATAACCAATAAGAATTTTTTCATGAATTTTCTTTGTTTCGATTTGAAACAAAATGACTTACGAAAACAAACCCTGAACCTGGACGTCATGATGTCAAATAGAAAACACAGACATGAAACTCTGGCTTTGTCGGCTTTCATCAGCGTGGTGTAACCAAGTACACAGATGGGCAACATAGGAGACAACTGCACATAATATGTGGTTTCAGCTACAAAACTTCTCAGTTCGAAATATGAATATTTGAATTTACTGTCGAGTGTGTTTGATATGAAGTAAAATGGAAACAATACTCTGAAAAGGCGAATCGCGGACAAATCATTGCATATAGCTACACTTCTCTACTGGAGACAATGAGTCAAAAACACTAGTGAAAAATTACTAAAGATACTCACAACTCCCCCATCAAGTTGAAACTCAGTCAGCAAGAGGAAAAAAAATGAAACATCGAGATTTTTTTCTCCGATTTCCGCAGACTCTATCCGGATCACGGTGTCAAAATGGTTGTTCTGATTTTTGGAGTCCTTGGTGAAATGATGCCATATCTACTCTCGAATCTTAAAATCATGCCGGTTGCCGCACTGAGATAGAAATTTGAGTCGGAACATGCACAAGGCTGTCATTTTTGACTCATTGCGCTTGATCAGGACAAAATTCTTGAACTCAATGATTACTTACCCCACGG